GTAGACCAGATTCTCAGATTCTAATTTTCCAAGCTGAGTTCTTCAGGGCCTCATTGAGTTAAAAAATCCCATACTTTTTGCCTCTGAAAAGGCAATTTCCTTTCCACCTTTCCCAGATCAACTCCTTGAAGATGCACCCCAAGACCCACATTTCTGGAACTTCCTTTGCATAGTTAAAACATAAAATATCACAACTGAAACTTAGCCACAAGGTGTGTTTTTTTAATTATAGAAGTGAAAGCACAGAGAAGGTGTTTTAATTTGCTCTGTCCTTCTGGAGTGGTGACATCTCCCCATCTTTTCCTGTTGAGCTGGAAAATTGGGGAGTGAGTCACTTTGTCATTCATTCAGTCACTCACTTCTCACTCAGCAAATATGCCCTAGATGTGTTTAAACCTGCTAGACTAAAAGAGGTCCCTGGTGTCTTAAACTTCTTAGTTCTGCTGGGATTCTAGAGAGGGCCCATGGGATAAATGAAAAGGATGCTTGGCCAGGAGGTCAGAGTGTGCAGGGCACTCTCACTCTCCCTCAGCCTCACTTCTGGAGTCTATGGAGGTAATAACTCTGGAGTTATGAGATTCTAGAGTGTGTTTAAACCTGCTAGACTAAAAGAGGTCCCTGGTGTCTTAAACTTCTTAGTTCTGCTGGGATTCTAGAGAGGGCCCATGAGATAAATGAAAAGGATGCTTGACCAGGAGGTCAAAGAGTGTGCAGGTGACTCTTACTCTCCCTCTCCCTTAGCTTCACTTCTGGAGGCTAAGGAGGTAATAACTCTGGGGTTATGCGATCTTAGAAGTAGAGTTCAGTACATTTGGGTTAATAATCTAATTTTGTTTCTCCTTGCAGGGTTTTGGGACTTTTGACATGGACTGTTTTAAAAAGTATGGAAACATGTGGGGGTGAGTATTTGGGAAACTCCCATTGGATAGACTTGCTGTTATGATGAGGGCCTCCCTGGTGTGGAGGACAATCTCAGCTCAAAGCCTGTAAAGCTTTTGGAGGCTTGTCCTCTAGGACCCAGATGTCACCACGTGTCCAGGCTGCGTTCGGAATCAAGAAGGGGAGTTGCAGGTTATCACACTATCCTGATTTTGATGGCCTAGGGACTCCTGGCATCACTTTCTGTCCAGTGTCTCATTATTCCCCCCATCTCTATTTTTCTTCCATTTGGTCTCCTTTAATTGCATGAAATGCATAACTTCAGACCCTTCTAATATATTTCAATCATAACCCTACATAATTGACTTTAAAAACATTATAAACCATAGTTTTATGTTATTTTAAAAACTTTTGTTCTTATTGATTTTAGAGAGAAAAAAGAAAGGAAAGGAATAGAGAGATAGAATATATAAGCATTGCTTTATCTACCCTGTTCTACTGACTTTGAAGAGATAGAATATTTCCAAACCATACTGCTTCCTGGTGGGTTGATGGACTTAAGGATTTTGCAAAGTGGTTTCAGTCAGTTGATGAGAGAGAATCATTGATTGGCTGCCTCTGCACACCTCTTACTGGGATCAGGCCACAATTGGGCATGTGCCCTGACTGGGAATCGAACCAACCAGCTCTTGGTGCATGGGTTGATGCTCAACCACTGAGCCACACCAGCTGGACCATAATTGACTATTAATTAAAATCACAACTTTTTAATTTCAAATTTGGATTTGTTATATTCTTTTGAAAAAGCTATGGGTTTAGGTAAACAGAATGGGAAACCATATCTGCTTGGCTTTGTTTTTACTTCCTCCACAAGTTTAGAGTTTGGGTTTTAAAAAAATGTTTAAACCAAGACTTCTCAATAGAAGTTTAGTTTATACAAGTATTGCTTTATCTACCCTATTCTACTGACTTTGTAGAGAGAGAATATTTCCAAACCATACTGCTTCCTGGTGGGCTGATGGACTTAAGGATTTTGCAAAGTGGTTTCAGTCAGTTACAGTGGCTGTTCCCATTTGGAGCTGCTGGAGGTGTGGTGAGAGCCGCAGGAGAGGTGTAACGTGGTTTGTGTCCTAGGAGCAAAGGGGAGAAGGCTTTGCTTCTCAGTACTGTTTCATCCCCTTTCAAATCCTCAGAAACCATAAGGTTCTACTGAGTTGGCAGGGTCCAGAAAGGCTACGTGATGGAGTAGAGGGAGCACACAGCACTGGGTCACCACTGGCCCAGCTCCAACTGCCCTCCCAACATTGACCACTTGTGAGGTCTGCATGTAGTCCTCTAAAGAAAGAAAGTGGTTCTCATGCTTGGGTGTGTATAAGAACCAGTTTGGAGAGTGTGTTAAACATACACACTTAGGGCCCAGCAGCACCAAATCCGTAGTGTCAGGGCTGGGGCCCAAGAATATGAATGTCGCCTGTATTGTAACAAACTCTAAGGCTGGTGTGAGGTCATAAATGTAGAGCATTACCAAAAACCTTGTGTCTCTCCACCCAGGTGTTTTTAAAAAACACAATGGGGAGAAGGGAGTCATCCAAGAAATATAGTCAATCAGTCTGACCAATCTAAGTGCCACCGCAATTACTTATATCACTGCTTCAACACTAAATGTACTTGACACCCACTTACACCTTCTGAGCTTCAGAAGATTTTTGGGAAATGGGCGGCATTAAGTGCAGGGGTCCTCATCTATTTTTATATGGATCACAAAACAAAGTCCTCTGAGGAGTCAAAGAAAGAATAGATCAGAGTTGTGGAAAACCTCCCATTATATTCTAGTTAATGAAAATGATTTATAGTAAAAAATAAAATGCTAGAGGACAGTGTTACTAAACTTATAGCAAACCTCATGTAATTCAACTTATAGTAAACCAGCCAGGAGATGGCCAGATTGGGATGTATCTCAGCTTTGTGTGATGTGTATGTTAAAAGTGGCTTGTCCTGCTGCTGGCTGATGTCTCCTACATGGGGCCCGAGGCCCACTTAGGACCCACATATACAATAAATATAATTAATGGAAAGAAAATACTTTTAACTAAATTGTACACGCTCTTTTGTATTTTTTATTCTCTTTGTCCTTTGATTTATTTATTTATTTATTTTTGTCCTTTGTTTTAAATATTTCTAAATTTGATTCTACCAAGGACTTCTCTTTAATAGTTAAAATATTTCCTTTAAGCAATTGTAAACAAATTTTAGAATATAGGGCAAAGAAAGCAATCATATTCCTACTATATCTTTTTGCGCATTCTGAGTCATTATTATTTGGGAACACATTTTTACATATTTGTTATCAGTATGTTTACACTTTTCTTTTTCTGAGGAATTTCTCCATTGATTTTTAGAGATTGGAAGGGAGGGAGAGAGACAGAAAGGGGGAAACATCGATGTGGGAGAGACACATCAATTGGTTGCCTTCTGCATGCACCCTGACTAGGGCCAGGGATTGAGCCTGCAACTTAAGTATGTGCCACTGAGATGAAATGAACTCAGGACTGCTCAGTCCATGGGCTGATGCTCTATCCACTGAGCCAAACCATCTAGGGCTATGTCTACACTTTTCATCTAATAGTATGTCATATGCATTTTTATATCTATCTCTACATTACAAAAGCCTAAGAGACCATTATGTCTGGTCGACCAAATGACTGGTTGACTGGTTGCTATGACACACACTGACCACCAGGGGGCAACACTTAATGTAGGAGCTACCCCCTAGCGGTCAGTGTGCTCCCACAGCCAACCTCCCGTGGTCCCTCCCCATGGCCGGTCAGCCCCGATTGGCCCTGATTGGGATTGGGTGAGACGGCCCTGATCGGCCCCAATTGCTGGCTAGACTAGGGAACCCCACCCATGCATGAATTTGTGCACTGGGCCTCTAACCCTAATATGCAAATAGACCGAACGGCTGAACAAGCAAACGACCGGTCACTATGACGTGTGCTTACCACCAGGGGGTGCGTGTGGAACATGACGGCGTTGGCAGCAGGTGGC